TTTAAAGGCTGTGTAATAGTCATCTTTAAAATATTTCCAGCAGTTCATACTACAAAACCTTGTTTTGATCTACCCATAAATTCTTCCTGAAATTTCACTCTTACTGTTGCTAAAACTTGCTAAAATCTGTCTGCATATCCACATACAGCCTCCAGTCATTGGGTATTACTCATACCCCAGTGGAGAAGGCATCCCTAGATGTTGGTATGTGTGAAAACAGTTGTCTTTTGGGTCTTTTCTCAGCTTCTGCCTTTACTGCTGCCCTCAGGGGTACAGAGCCTGAATTGCTGCTGTGGGAGATGATGCAGCACAAATCAGTCCCTGCTGTGTTGGGGTTTACCCATTTCAGAGCTCAGGCTCTCCTGAGAGGGAATTACTGATGGCTTTGATGATTAGACTGACTTGAAAGTAGTTGTGCTAGGAAATGTCACCATTGTTCTTTTCTTTTAGCTATTTAAATTTAACTATTTTTACTTATGATTTTATTTGAAAGAGAACTGAACTAACCCCTTGAAAATGAAGATGTAGCTCCCTTTCTTACATAGAATCACAGAATCATTTAGGTTGAAAAAGATTTTTAAGATCAGTGAGTCCAGCCTGTAACCACAGACAGATCCTGGTCGTACTTGAATAATGAACAGGTTAATATGTGAGGCTGTGATTACACAGTAGCGTCAATACAACAGAAATATGAACTGCCAGTGTCCAAAAAAAGAGAGGCATTGGAATGAATGCACAGAATCGGAGATACAATAATCTTCCATTGACATATTTTTACCCAGTGGAATTACAATGCACAATGTGATGTCCAGGACCCATCTCTGTGCAAGTACTTTTGAAATAATAGGTCATAATTATTCTTAAAAACTAAAAGATGTGTTTTGGTGAGTTGTAAACTCAGAGAATTCAGTATTTTACCTGTCAGAAAGCGAAAGGATAGTGAAAGATTTTTTTTAAATAAAGACTATTTTATTTTTGAGGCTGCTAAGTACAAGAAGTGAGTTAGTAATAATATTAACATAGTGTGCAGAATGCACAGCCAAACCATGACTTAGAAAATCTTTTTATTTGATGAAATCATGCTATACTTGCAGCAAATGCTTTTTTTATGTGTGGAAATACTTCCAGTGATTCTCAGTGACTTGCACTGACAAAATGTGTGTTTCCCACCAGAGTTGACAAGTTCATGGACCGTGAGGGCCGCAGGCCTCGTATCCTCGTTGCCAAGATGGGCCAGGACGGCCACGACAGAGGGGCCAAAGTCATCGCTACGGGATTCGCCGACATCGGCTTCGACGTGGACATAGGGCCCCTCTTCCAGGTAGGGCTGAGCAGCACCCAGAGCATTCATTTATTCCTTCCCTTTGCATCCCTTCTCCCTGGGGGCGTGCTCAGACCGTGTCCCATGCCCTGTCCCTCCCCTGTCACTCACAGACCCCGCGGGAGGTGGCGCAACAGGCCGTGGACGCGGACGTGCACTGTGTCGGGGTGAGCACACTCGCCGCGGGACACAAAACCCTGGTGCCCGAACTCATCAAGGAGCTCAGTGCCCTGGGCCGGCCCGACATCCTGGTCATGTGTGGAGGAGTCATCCCCCCTCAGGTACGGGCAGCATCTCATTGCTGCTGGCACAGCCCAGGGTGAGGAAGCAAAAAAGATCTTTGCATAATATCCACAGGTGTTTTATTCAGCCACATTGAGAGCCCCCTCTCTACACCCACACTTTCTCTCTACCGGACCCTAGGGACTGACCCTGGTCTCGGGGCAGTACAAAGCTGAGGGACAGTCAGGGAATTGGGGGGGAGTGGCTCAGGGACATAGTAACAGGGGAAGGAGCCAATGAGGTCTAACAGCTTTTTGAGGGAAGCTTCTTGTGGCTCCCTAGACGAGGGAATGACCCCTCAGGGTCTCCACACATTTCCATCAAGCTAAGAGATTGATTTATCTCTGTCTGAACTATTTCCTATGTTCTGTAATGTCAGAGCACTGAAGGCTCCTCTGTACAGTCACCAGGGCCAGCACAGCTCTGTAAGGTGGGTTCCCCTGATCTGATTTTCTGTACACTATGCCATGGTTTAACTTAGAGTGCTTGTGGGATGGAAAATGGAGCTGTGTTGTGAAAAGATGAGCTTCAGGGAGATGTTCTTTATGCTCTGTTGTTTCACACCACCAGTCCTTGCTGGCCACCAGGCTGGATTCTGTCTTAAGAGAGCTTTTGACTTCCAGCAATGGTTGGGAATAGCCAGTGACAAAGGCCCCTGGCAGGTCCTATCATCCCTAGGCTGCACTTCTCACTGACTTTTCAGCCTTTCCTCACCGTCCCCGTCATCAGGCACGTGTTGCCTCTCATCCCTCTCTTTCTCCTAAACTGTTGAGCAGTTTGTCAAATTCCCTGGCAGTCAGATCTGTGCTTTGATCTTTAAATTTTCCTTAGCTCATGCACAATCTGCCTGTCTCCACCACCTTACAGCCATCCCGTCTATAGTGATCCAAACTGATTTTGCAAATAAATCTCCTGGTATTCCCTTTTTCCACACCTCTCCCTTTTCTAGACAGTCAAGTAACTATTTGGGAATGACAGAATTCTAAACTGAGCAAACAAAAATCACAGTATTTTTCCAGGAGACAATTTGTGTTCTGTCCAGTATCTCTCAATGGGCTGCTACTACCCTGTGGTTGGTAAAGGTGTAATTTATCCTATGTAGAAGAAAGAGAGAATACAGAGCTGCTTCCCAAGTCTTTTCAAAATTTCAGGACAGTCATGAAATTCAATTTACTCTAGATTGCAAGAGACCAATGGCAGTCATCTGCTCCAACTCCTTGTTTAAAGTAGTATTTTCAAAATTAGAAGTTAGATCAAATTTAGGTTGGGTTATTCAGACTCATATACAGTTGACTTTTGAGTACTTTCCAAGGACTGCCATTAGTCTGACTCTAAATAAATAAACCTTTTCCTATTTTTTTTTTAATATTTTTTTCCTACCTTCTCACTTCCACCCATTTCCTTGAAGCTGTGCTGCCTCTCTCTGGGACTTGTTGCTTTCTCAGGGCCAGCACAGAGGACAGAGTATGCACCAGTTATAAATCAATTACCAATATTCTGTTTCACTATTAACTATAATCTTAAATCTCTTCTCCATCAGGATTATGACTTCCTGTATGAAGCTGGTGTTGCCAACGTGTTTGGTCCAGGCACTCGCATTCCAAAAGCAGCGGTGCAGGTGTTGGATGACATTGAGAAGTGCCTGGAAAAGAGGCAGCAATCCATGTGACTCTGAAATGTCACAACTCAGCAGCCTTACACTGACCACTTGATTGTCAGCAAGGGATGGCCAACCACAAACCTCTGCTCCCACTGCCCCCTGGCCTCGTGTTTTGTGCTTTCTAAGAAAGTTCTAAACTCTCTGCTTGTTCTATTTGAGGATTATTTATATAGGTATCCACAAGAAAAATTTATCTCTAGAAATATGATTTCAGGAAATGAAGGGAATTCAAATAAGTGTGTTTGGTTTTTTTTTTTCCAGATATACTGATAAATAAAATAACTGCTGCAGCTCTTTGGATGGTCTCTTTTGCCTGATCTCTTTTGCATGCAGAGAACCTGTTTTGAATTTTTTGGCAGTTATAGTAGATCTAAAAGTCTTCAGGCAGGATCACTCATTCAGCAGAGATGGGATTGACTCCAGCAGCACTTTGGTTTGGGAAATCAAAGTGGCTTCTCAGGGAAGGGCAGTGATGGGAACAGGGCACAGTGCCCAGTGCTCCTGTACAGGCTACTGCCATCTATACTATTTGTATCTTATTCAGCCATGAAATTAAAAAATGATGGTTTATCTACCTATAGCTTTATAAAGAGAGTTACATTATGGCTGTCCCATCTCTGAAAGAGTTCAAGGCCAGGTTGGATGGGGCTTGGAGCAACCTGGGATTGTGGAAGGCAGTTGGAACAAGATGGTTTTTCTGATCCCTTCCAGCCCAAACCACTCTCTGATTCTGTGTTTCTGTGATTTTATGAAGCTGTTCATTAAACAGTTTGTGTTTTACATTCATGAGCAGTAAAACTCTATCTGTTGTGTGGATGAGAGAAGAACCCAAGACAAAGTTTAAGTTGCACAGTGTTACTGGCAAAGTAGTGGGGTGGAATCCAAGCCTTTGCAGTGTTATCCTCGTGCTCTAACTTCTGGAATAATGATCTCTCTCAAATAATTGTTCTGAAGTGAGTCACATTTAATTTTACAGATGGAAAATTGACCATTAACAGAAATTTTCTATAAAAAATCTGTAAGTTATTCCTATGCCTCAATAGCCAGAGGCTGCCTAGAAGTTTTTCAAAGTAAGGCATTGAAATTGAACTTATTTTAATACATATCAGAGTTTTGGTGGTATTATTTAACTTGATGTCATCATCCATAGGGAGCTCCATTTATCCTCAATGGAAAGAAAGAAGCCAAAGGTGGCTGGCTCAGATTGAGTGTCTGCATTGTAAACCTCCTAAGAGTGATGAGATAACTCCTAATATGTGAGAGGTTTGATCTGTTGGTGTTTTTAGATTAAATTTCTGTTTGCATTGAGGTGATTGCACTGGTGATTGCAAACATGAGGTGCCCAGACTCGCTCCTGAACTCAGTGCTTGCATCCTGAAAAGACAGCACAGTCCAGGCCTGGGTAGGAAATAGCCATGGAATTGTAATGTGATCATAAATTACCTTCTCAAAACTTAAAACAACAACCAAACAGACTTGGTGTTATGGTTGTACTAAATCAGCAAACTCTGTTCTCAGTTGCAGTCATGTCAGTGCTCTAGCCAGGGGGGAATTTGGGATCTCAGGAGCTTCCCTGGAAGCCATGAGAGCCAGGACTGCATCTGCAGGGTGTCCCTGCTAGGAGGGTCACCTGGGGAGTGCCCTGTGTCATCCTGTACAGAGAGCAGCTGCAGAGCAAGGGTGGTGAAGCACTGGAACAGGCTGCCTGGGGAAGTGATGGGCTCACCATCCCTGGAAGAGTTCCCAAAATACATGGATGTGGCACTGGAGGACATGGTTTAGTGGTGAACATGGTGGTGATGGGTTGGTGGTTGGACATGATTTAAAAGGTCTTTTCCAACCTTAACAATTCCAATCCTGAAGTGCTCCAACAGCTTCCTTGGCAGAAGAGCTGTGGTACCTCAGCCAGCAACAGATGAAGGACACAGTTCCTCCTGCTGAGAGCTCCCTTCCCCTTCCCCTTCCCCTTCCCCTTCCCTTCTCACTGTGCCATTTGGGACACACATCCTTCACTGACTGCCACCTCACCAAACCTCATCCAGCCAAGGCTGCTCAGCTCCTTGGACTTGTGCTTGGAGAGTTGGAGCTGCACCTCTGAGAGAACAAGGAACCAGAGATCTCTATGGAACCTGAGCTCTCTGTATCATTTTGGGAGCAGCCACATTCCCACCTTTTCCTGGCAGTGAACATTTCTTGCTCCCCATATAGTTTTCAGTCTGAATTGCTGGAAAACTACACACTCAGCTGTGTTTATTTGGTAACACTGTGTGCAACCTATGGTTTTCTCTGATGGCTGTTTTACTGCTAGGGCCAACAGTTGGCAGATAGATTGCATTAAATAAAATCAAAAGTATAGAAAAAAAATCAACAAAAATAATAATTCTCTTTTTACCTGAAAATAAGTTTAATTTACATGATTTTATGTTTGGTACATAAATCTATTTCCCCTAAAATGGAATTTCTTGGGGAAAAAATAGATTTTTTTAATTTTGTTTTTTTGTATGAGGCTTACAGACAATATTTGAGAGCTGCTTAAAAATATATACTTAAACTTCTGCATTGACATGAGATAGGCAGTGACAACCTCATTTGCTGCATCCCTGGGGGTGAGGCCAGGCTGACCCCACTGCTGCTCTTCAGGGAGCTGCAGCCGCCGGGTTCTGCACCCTCGGCGCCGCAGACAGACGGACGTTGTCCCTCCCGCTCCACATGGTGGACACGGCATTCTCCATGGAGTTGTCAGAGCTGAAGTAGGGAATCCTCCAGGCACAGCAGCACTGCAGCTTCCTCACCTCGCAGCGGAACGTCTTGCTGAAGACATAGTAGATGAAGGGGTTGTAGGCCGTGGAGGACTTGGCAAACAGGCAGGGCAGCAGCGTCACCACGGGCTGCAGGGAGTCGCTGGAGTTAAAGATGGACCAGAAGCTGGTGGCTGCATAGGGAGTCCAAGAGCTCAGGAATCCCACGGAGATGAGCACGGCCATCTGCAAGGGAACAGAGCTGATTGCAGCTGGACAAACAGGGTTGGATGCCCTGGCACAGGAGGTGTGTGTGGGACACACCTGAACTGCAACAGCCAAAGCTGTGCTTGCTGGGCCCTCGTGACAAGAGAGACATTGAGCGTGTCCAGAGAAGGGAACTGAGCTGGGAAAGGGTCTGGAGCACAGGTCTGATGAGGAGCAGCTGGGATGTTGGGGAAGATGAAACAGGAAAGCCTTATAAATATGATTGCCTGGCAAAGGATTTTGAGAATATAGAAACTATAAGCGAGATTGAAATGAAAGCAAGCTTTGAGATCCCTCAGTTACTGAACGACTGGAAAACAATGGTGTGGCCGGACTGAAGGTGATCCCCTTTTGATGAAACAATACCCTCTGCTTGCAGAGAGGTCCAAGGGTCAGAGCAGACCCTAGAGCTTAGCAGAGGGGGTCCAAAGAGGAGATTTTAGGGTTTAAAATGTATGGTTTTAGGGTTTAAAATGTGTAAAACACAGTATGGTAATATAATGATTCTTATAGGCTGTATGTAAATGCTATAGGATTTGTATCTTGTACTAGATTGGTTAGTGAGAATTAGAATATTCAACACAGAAGAAGATTTATTGTATTGTAATGAGCTTGCTCTGTTACATTTTTGCTCTCTTACCCTTTTGCTCTCTTCCCCTCTCACTCTCTTCCCCTCTCATCCTCTTTACCCCTCTCTTCTCTCAGGCCTGCTCTGAGCTGTGGCTGGCAGCTCCCAGCAGGGCCCTGCACCCAAGCCATTTGCAATAAACCCCAAGTTCCACCACCTGGCTTCAGAGATCTCTCGTCTCCATCAATCCCAACTGTCCTAGCCCTGATGCTCCTACACTGGGGGAGCTCAGCCTGGACAAAAGGAGACTTAGGAGGACCTTCTGACTCACTAAAACCCCTGGATGCTAGAGCCAGGTGGGAGTCAGGCTATGCTCCCAGGTAAAAAATGAAAGGACAAGAGGAAATGCCCTCAGGTTGCACCAGGGGATGTTTAGATTGGATATTAGGAAGCATTTCTTCACAAGAGGAGTTGTCAGTCATTGGGACAGACTGCCCAGGGCATTGATGGAGTTACTGTCATTAGCAATATGTAAAAAAATGTGTTGCTGTGGTGCTTAGGGGCATGGTTAAGTGGTGGGGCCTGTCAGTGGTGAATTAATGGTTGGACCTGATGATCTTAGAGACCTTTTCCAACCTTAATGATTCAGTGATTCTATGACTGACCTCTAGAAAACTTGGATCAATTCTGCTTTTCCACAAGAAACGAACAACTGAAGCCCACATTTGGAAAAAACATATATTAATACTTAATCTTTTAAAATCCTGTTTCCACACAGAATTTCTGTGTAGGTGTCTGTAATCTCATGATTCTGTGAGCTGTGCATGAGCAGAGCCAGCTCTGCACACTCTTCCCATCACAGGGATAACTCACCAGGGTCAGCTTCTTCTCCAGTGTGGCTGCGTTGGGGATCCTGTCAATATTCTGGATCTCTTGGTATGCTTTATGAACCTTCCAGGCAATCCCCAGGTAACAGGCCACGATGGTCAGCGCAGGCAGCACCGTGCACAGGAGGAACATGCTCAGGATGAAGGAGAAACCATTGGAGGAGTTGTGGAATTTGCTCCAGGCTATGGTACAGGAGATGCCAAAGGGCTCAGGGCCATAGTAGCCCCAGCCCACCAAGGGCAGGATGGCCCAGAGCAAGGAGTAGAGCCAGATAAAAGCAATCAGGATGCAGACAGTGCTCTTGGTGATTTTGTTACCTGCAAGAAAGAGGAAGAGCAAGCCTGGATGGATCCCATCCCAGCCACAAGGAAAGTTATTTTGCCATAACTTCTCCTTAGACAGAAGAAAGGTGGCTCCAGACGCACCTGGGCTGCTGCTGCAGGTCCCTAACCTTGGGGCATCTAGAGAAACAGTGTCAGAGGATTGGATGAGACCTGAACACAGCCCTCAGTGCTCATCTGGAGCTTTGTAAGACAGAGAGCTTTACAAGATCAATTTCACCTTGAATGTGCTGTAGTCCCAGCCCAGAAATGCCAGGAGAATATTCCTTCCTTTTAAATTCCAGTGTTTTTGCTTGGATACAAATAGGAAAGGAAGGCAGTCTTGTCCAGCAAAACATTTGTGCTCTCCATTTCCAGGTAGTTTCGCTTGGTAAAACTGAGAAGTGAAAAACCTCACTGTTTCATTCAGAATTTAATCAGGTCCTTCTGGGAACACCAGGATTTGATACTACACTAAAAGTTGAGGTTTATTCTGCTGTTACTGACCTGATAACCCACACCACATTCCACAAAGCACCTCCCAGAGCAGCCCAGCCCAAACACAGCAGCACTAGGTGTCCTAGGGTGACATTATGATGCTTGTATCCCCATTCAAGTGTTCTGTTTATGCTGGATATTATGTTCTGTGCCTTTAAGACTGGCTCTGAAGAGTGAAAGTTTTGTTTGGGTTTTCTTATCAGCCTGGCAGAACACACAGACAGGGCAGTACACAGTGCTGCTTTTGCTTTTCACTTTGCTCTTTTGCTTCTGCTTTGCTTCTGCTTGCTTTCGCTTCTGATAATAAGCTACTTTAGCTAAACAGTCCAAATTTCTTCCTGGAGTGTTTCTCCTTTCTTTTTTTTTTTTTTTGGCCCTACTTGAACCTGCTCTGGACTGGGACCTGGAAACACCAAGAGTTTGCACCTTGTGGCTGCAGCAGCTGCCCCAGCGCCGGAGGGACTGAGAACAGAGTGACCGCTCCCAAGAGAGATTTTCTGAATTTGTCATCTTTTTAGAGCAGTGAAAGAGTGGTGTCATCCAATATTGTTCATTTTGTGTGCTGGGAACGCTGTACCTGTTAGATAAACAGGTTCTTTCCACTTCTCTGCAAGGAATTCTTCCCGAACCTGTTAGAGGGAGCGGCAGTGTGGGTTTGCTTTCTGGAGGGGCCCCATTTTGGAGATTCTCTACCAAATTTGCCCTAAACCAGGACAATAGGTGATTTACTCACTGTTGGATTTGGATGAGTTGGTGACGAGGAATCGAATCACGGCCATGGCACACAGGGTCATCATGCTGCAGACCCCAAAGAGGAAACCCATCAGGGCATAGTAGACACAGGAGGTGTCTCCCCCCAGCCAGGCGTGGCTCCAGGCAGAGGCAATGGCCAGGGGGTACATGCTGAGCGCCATGCCGATGTCTGCCACCGCCAGGTTCACTGTGAGCAGCTCCGGTGGCTTCAGCAGGGACGAGCGTCTCACAGCCGTGGCAAGGACGGCTGAATTCCCAAGGATTGTCAGGATGGCTGAAAGGGAAGGACCAACACAGACAGGAATATCACATGGTTAACACACCTGGGAAATTCACTGGAAGGATGTGAAGTGCCTGAGAGGGGCTACAATGGAGCTGAGGAGGGACCTCTTACAAGATTATGTAGTGATAAGGGGGATTGGCTTTAAACTGAAAGAGAGCAGGGTGAGATTTGATATTAGGTGTTCTTCCCTGTGAGGGTGAGGAGGCCCTGGCACAGGCTGCCCAGAGAAGCTGTGACTTCTCCATCCCTGGAAGTGTCCAAGGCCAGGTTGGCAGCTTGGAGCAACCTGGGATAGTGGAAGGTGTCCCTGCCCAAGGCAGGGTTTGGAAGGTCCTGTCACTGCCTGCCCATGTGAAAAGTCACTTTCTGTCTTTTTTATAAGTTCCCTTTAAGTGCTGGAAGGCCACAATGAGGTCTCCCTGTAGCCTTTTCCAGAGAGAACCCCCCAGCTCTCACAGCCTGTCTCCAGAGCAGAGGTGCTCTAGCCCTCAGGGCACCTTTGTGGCCTCCTCTGGACCCACTCTAGCAGGTCCACGGATTTCTTGCACTGGGAAAGAATCTCCTCCCTTCTCCTTCCTGCTGAAGTACTCCAGCCATCCTGGCCACCTGACCCCTGCACTTCCCAAAGCCTTCCCTGTGTGTGACCTCCCTCACCTCCAATGGAGCCCCAGCACTGGGCTCTGAGCTGCCTGGCTGGTGCTGCCTGGGCAGCTCAGAGTCCTTGCTGGTCCCCGAGAATTAGCATGGCTGTTCTGGGGGTCTCTGAGAGCAGTGGTGTTGGGGAAGATGAAACAGGAAAGCCTTATAAATAGGAGTGCCTGGCAAAAGATTTTGAGATTATAGAAATTCTAAGCGAGATGGAAATGAAAGCAAGCTTTGAGTTACTGAACAACTGGAAAACAAGGGCATGGCCAGCTGAAGGTAATCCCCTTTTGCTGAAACAATACCCTCTGCTTGCAGACAGGCCCAAGGGTCAGAGCAGACCCTACTAACTTTCCAGAAGGGGTCCAAAGAGGAGTTTTTAAGGTTTAAAATGTAACACTGTACGGTAATGTAATGATTCTTATAGGCTGTATGTAAATGCTATAGGATTTGTATCTTGTACTAGATTGGTTAGTGAGAATTAGAATATTCAACACAGAAGAAGATTTATTATGTTGTAACGAAGACCTCACTCTCTTACGCTTTTGTTCTCTTACCCCTTTACTCTCTTACCCTTTTACATTCTTACCCTCTCATCCTCTCTGTCCCTCTCTTCTCTGGGGCCTGCTGTGAGCTGTGGCTGGCAGCTCCCAGCAAGGCCCTGCACCCAGGCCCTTTGCAATAACCCCAAGTTCCATGACCTGGCTTCAGAGATCTCTCATGTCCATCCATCCCGACCATCCCACTCCCAACACTCCAACAAGTGGGACCATGGGAGTTGTTTAGCCAGGGGCGTGCAACAGACCCAGAGCTTGCTTTGCAAAAGGAGCTGTCACACATACATAATTCAGGTGTGCCACAGGGCCTCAAAGTGCTGGTGACAGCAGTGTCAGAAGTACACGCACCAAACAACTCATTTTCTCTCTTCTTTCTAGTGAACATGGTGCTGTAGCAACATTTTGATGAAAGGTTTTCCTGAGAAGGTGTTCTCTAAAGTCAGAGGTGAAAGAGGGAGCCAGGAAAAGATTCTGCCCTGTTCCCTTGTGCCTGTGAATGCAGGAAGGCTGCATTTGCTCACAGGTACCACTTAAAGTGACCACAGAGGACTTAACAGAGGCACATGCAATAAAATGGAATAAATCTATTGGCATAAGTAGAAAATCCTCAGAGATGCCAAGAGAAAGGCTAAACTGAAATGAGGACACACATCTGAGGCACCGTGTCCCTCCTTCATTCCCTTTCTGACCCCACACCTTCACTTGCCACCTCTGGATGCCCTTGAAGGGCTCCTGAGCTCTCAGGTCTCTGTGTCTACACACAGGGATGATGCCCATGGGGGCTTGGCTGGCAGAGCAACCTGAGGCTCAGTGGGCAGAGCTCTCTCCGCAGGCTGGGACATGGAAACATGGAACCATGGAATCCTTTGGACTGGAAAACACCTCTAAGATCATTGGGTCCAGCCATTCCCCAGCACTGACCAGGCCACCTCTAAAGCATGTCCCCAAATGCCACATCCACACAGCTTTTAAATCCTCCCAGGGATGGTGACTCCACCACTGCCCTGGGCAGCCTGTTCCAATACTTCACAGTCCTTTCCATGAAGAAATGTTCCCTAAAATCCAATCTAAACTTGCCCTGGCGTAACTCGAGGTAATGTTTTTTTGTCCTGTTACTTGTTATCTAAAGGAGACCCTGAACCCCCTTGGCTGTCCTCTCCTGTCAGGGAGTTGTGCAGAGCCAGAAGATCCCCCTGAGCCTCCTTTTCTCCAGGCTGAGCCCCTTTCCCAGCTCCCTCAGCCTCTCCTGGTGCTCCAGCGCCTTTCCCAGCTCCATTCCCTCCCCTGGAGTCACTCCAGCCCCTCATTTTGTTTCTTGCAGCGAGGCTCCCAAAACAGAACATCCACACTCAGGCTTCAGGAGGAAAAATGAACCCAGTTCAGTTTCTTTGGTAAGAGCCCAGCCCTTGTACCAGATGCAGGAAGCAGCTTTGCCATCAGAGGTGACACCCAGGCCCAGCCTCTCCTTCCCCTTGACAGAAGCTCTTCCCTTCCATCTCACAGTCTGGCTGGCACAGGACAGACCCATAACTGTGGGACAGTAACCAAACAGCTGCTGGTGAATGCTGCCACCCATGCTCTGCCCTTGTTCTTAATAAAAACATCATTTCATGGCACAAACCTGCAGCCCCAGTGAGTGGCAAAGCTATGGATAAATACAGCACCTGATTCCAGCTCAGCTCACTGCTTTATTCCTGAGTCCCTGCAGGATGCAGTGAACCTGGCTGCCTCACAGGGCTCTGGATCCCTGCTGGAAGCTGTGCCTGGAGTTTCAGTGCCTCAGAGTCCTTTAGGAGAGGTGTGGGACTGCAGCATGGTGGAACACAAACATGGGGAGCTTCAGCCCCCAGCCCTCTTTTGCTGCCCCTTCCCATTGTGCCTTAACTGCATCTATGTATTTGCCTTTCTGAGAGATGAGAGTTGACATCCTGACTTGAAAAAAATCCATTCATTAATTGTATTTGTAATTTTGTAATTGAATTCATTAATTCTCACCCTGAGTTGTGTTCTGCTGTGCAGAACAAGAGGAAATAAGAAGTATTAAAGTCCAGCACTTCTGCTCAGAGCCTCAGTTTTAAAGCACATGAAAATATAGGCTTGTCCTTCTTATGTCAGCTAGATTTTTCAAGAGAGCTGAAGGAAGGAATCTTAGGAAAAATTCAAGTGGAAGGCATGCCTAAACAAGTTCCACTCCTCTCCAAATGTACAAGGAGAAAACAAATGTCTATGTACATGCAAGAAGCAGACAAAGAAGAACACACTTAACTGAAGCCATAGGGGGGTAGCTATCCCCACTTTTATTTCATTTTCAATCTGCCTGCAGCAGGGAAAACAGGCTGCTGCAAACCCCAGAACTGCTATTTGGACACCCTTTGCTGTTCTGTAGCAGTGCATCCTGCCCGGACACAGCAGAATGACACCTCTCCCACCCAGGGCCAGCCCACAGCTGCTTCCCCTGACCGGTCCCATGGACTGAGCTGCCCTGGCTCAGTTCTCAGGGCTCAGATGCCACAAAAAGTGACACACAACTAATTTCAAATACTTGTGATGCCACAGACGCTAATTTGTGCTGGCCATTTTTCAGCATCAAAACAAGATTCCAAATCCAAGAGCGGAGATGAATCCTGGCTGCCAACCAACTCCAGGAGAACCTGTGGGGAAATATTTGCTGCCATTTCCCTCCAGGTTCTGCTGCCTGACCATGGCACAAACAGGGAATCCCTGTATCCTTTTCCCTGGCTCCAAGCAAACCATCAGGTTGTGAACTCACCTATGATGAGAAGAAAGACCCCAGCTCCATAATCCACTACTGGGTGAAGTTTGGAAATGTACTGCTCCTCCATGGTCCCTTGGGGAGGTGGCTGAAGGTTTTCCATCAAAGGTGAAGACGCTGCAGGAGCAAAGAGCTCGTCCTCATAGTTTGCCTGCTGCAGGTGAGAGCTGGTGCCGGGTGCTGGTGGGGCTGGCAGGGACCCTTCTGCTGCCTCCCTGTCCTGCCTGTGGTGTGTCAGGGCAGCAGCCTGCAGTGAGAGGAAGGGTTTTTCCCCGGGAGGCAGAGTGAGAGCCAGGCAGAGCTGCTGCCAGCGCGACCCCGCCTGCCTGGCTGGCAGAGCATCTCTCCTCCCACCCCTTCTCTCCCACCCTTTTGCTCCTTGGCTTGTCGGGAACATTCACAATGCAAATCTCCTCAGATGAGCAAAAAACCAATTGTTCTTCAACCATCAGCAGCCCTGGGAAATAAAGCCAGGCTGAGAAGGCAGGCAAAGGAAGGAAGGTTGGAAGAAAGTTTTGTATTCCAGCTTTATGGATGAGTGTGGGAGACACGAGGTTGGGGCAGGAATCTCTGAGTGGAAGTGTTAGAGGAAAGGTGTTTGCTGCAGGGGCTCAGCAGGCTCAAAGTCTGCTGGAGGCAGGAATGTCTGAGCTGCTCCAATGCAGAACTAGAGGATGCTCCGTCCAGTGTAGTCTAACAGAAGAGAAGCAACCTCTGAGGTCACTCTGTGACACTCCAGAGTTCTGACTTGGCCAGCAGCCACAGGAACACCTCACCTCTGTGTTTTCCTTCTCCTTATAATATCTGAGCCTAAGATCATCATAATGAGCAACCTGGTTTAGTGGTGGCATCTCTGCCCATGGCAGGGGGTTGGAACGAGATGGTCTTTAAGGTCCCTTCCAGCCCAAACCATTCTGTGATTCTGTGATAAGGGATTTTAAAATTCACAAGAGCATTGAGGCATCTCAGGTGTGATTTAGGTGGAATTTAGGTGCTCAAGTATAGCTGTAACAGCCTAAACTTAGGAATCTGGGAGACTTTAAAAGCCTTCAGTTTCAGCAGGGTTTGTATATCTCTGAGAATGGAGACTCCACAACAGTTGTTCCAGCTCCTTTTAGCTCTAATTCTCACACAGTTCAGTAACAAAGAAACTCATGAAATCCAGCAGCTGCTCACAAGCTGCTCAGCACAGGTGTCCTTCACTGAACATTCCTCAGCAGAGGAAATTCAGCTGAAAGAATGTGGGTGGTTGCTGCAACGCTCTTGAGGGGTGTACAAGCAAGACTCAATTTAGGAAAGCAGGATATATACAGTGGTAATCATAGCAGGAAGTTCTTCTATCAGAAAGGAATAAGAAAGGGTGATGTCTCAAAAATATGCTCAGAATGGAGAGTTTCAAGCAGCTTGGTCAATTCAGTGCAGTCTGTGCAAGGAAGAGAGGTTAGCATTTGATAGCATTTTGAGGGAGTGTCCTGGTTCTGACCAGGACAGGGTGAATTTCACAGTGGCCAGGAGGGGCATGGCCAGGAAATGGAGGTGATTCCATAGCACCTAGGCAGAACCACAACAGGGAGAAATGTCTGCTAGTGTAGCAAAAGATGCGAATCCTGTGACAGAAAGCAGGAAATTCCCACATTCTGTCCCTTAATCCAGTATACAAACCTGTGGTATTGGTAAATTAAACAATGCCAGATCACTACAAAGAGGCTGGAATCTGACTGCTCACCTTGCTACATTCACAGAACAGCTCCTGGCACTGATTTGGGCTGGGCCAGCTGGCACTGTCCTGTCCTTCCCAGGCACAGGTTGGCTAAAATGAGCCCAGGATTGCTCCCCACAAGCAGTAACATCATCAGCTTTGAAAACAAAGTGTTTTGTTCCCTGACACAGATGTTGCCCTTGGGTTTTGCTCTTACCCTAAGTGTCAACATTTTGATTGTCAAAGTGCAGCCATTGGATGAGGATTGACTGTTTCAAAGTTCTCAAATAGAGCTTTTAATTCTGATAAAACCCTTTCTTGGTAAAATTCCTGGCCTATGCAGTCATCTCACCTAATGTTTCTTTTTGGTGAAACCATGGCAGAGGGCTGAGTTCAAGGAGCCTGATGTCACCCAGTCCCAGCCAGATCTCCTGCTTTCCCACTTGTTTCATGGTCCATCCTCTCTCTATTGAAATAAAACACTGCTTTTCTTCAGGCAAGCAGGGAGACCAAGGGCAAGATTAAAACGTTCTGCTGATAATTTAATTGCTAATTATTATTTAATTACTGGAGGCTCCAATGGCTACATCAGGAGCCCGGTCCTCTGCCAGCTCTTGTGGGCACCTTAGATTACACTGTGTGACTCTTTCACGCTGGTTTAGATGGCATTTCATTTATTGTGAAACCCTCAGCTTAGCATTCATATGGGGTAGGATTACATCAACAGCCCAGTTGCGAAATGGAAGAAAAGAAAATGAATGATTAAAACCAGAAGAGCTGATGGGTCCCAAACCCAGTGCATTATTCATGTATACTTTAACAATAGCAAGTTGTGCTCATCACCATCTTCCTGCACATCAGATCAAGCCATATGATCTGTTCACAGCAGCCCAAGTTAACACATCTTGACAGACCCAGATTTGGGGGGGATCATATTTTAGAATTGTTTTGTGAAACTTACTTTTGATTTAATAAAGCAGTCGTGAAATGAGGCAGATGAAGGATGAAGTTGATATCTTCTCATTTCTGACAGGTTATGTGAAACTTTAAGCAAAAAAATGAACTCACCATGAAACTATTATCCTTGATGTAAATATGGACAAATAAGTTCCCATTGTTGGCATAAAACAGGGTATGAGTTGAGGAATTACTTGATGCTTCCAAGTGAGAATGTACTATGAGTTTATTTTTACTTTTGACAGGGAAAAACATAAAGAGTATTCTGAATTTGTAGGAACAAGGGAATTGCTCTGAATTATCAGTTTGCCACTGTGTAGGGGTTCATTTTGAAAGATAAAATGTCTCAATGTGTGGAGCTGTTTGGGACATGAATACTGGGTTGTGTTTGGTACCATATACCAAAATCACTGATATTTCCTGATATGTGGGAAGGGCTATGAATCTGGGTCCTTATCAGAAATGTCTATCAAAAATAGCCATGCATCATTCAGAGGAGGACATGCCTTTGTTATTCCTGTTTATCTCTGGCTGCTGTGTCCAGATCTTCTCTTTGCAAAGACTCTGAGATCTCCAGTGAGCAGAGTGAGTGCAAACAATCTGTGGGGACCGGCCCTTTTTGAGTGCCCTCTCCTTGCTGCAAAACACATCTGCCATGGTGCACAGCTCAGGCTTTTTGATTAAAAAATGCCACCTTTTCCAAACTCCTTGGAGGAGGCAACTTCATCACATTCTCCAGGAATTCCTACAACTTCTTTCCTTTTAAACATTTGTTTATTTCTGCAGTTTTACCTCTGCAGCTCATCTTTGAGCTGAGACCTTTAGCTGAGCTTCTCTAGCTTTCACCTCTATTTATGAAAATCAGAACACCATTTAAGTGGAATTCTCAGTCTCCTGATGAAGTTGTATGTTTTCAACAACTAAATCTTGTTTAAGCTGGCATTTGCAACCTCAAGCATAGAAATTTTTAAATTGTTATTTTCTGGCTGCCCGTGCTGACTTGCATGTTATTGCCTGAGGGGTTATTTACAAAGTCTAAATTCACTCTAGGGACACTAAACTCCCTAACTTCCCTTGGCAGGACCTGAAGAATCCACTTTGATCAATACATTTTGCCCTTTCACTACAACCAGTTTAATACATAAAACTTGGGTGTTGGTAAACCCAGTCCAAGTGAGTAACTTGGGTCTCAATAATTCCTGCTGGCTGCAGGCTGTGAGGAGAGTGTCTGGAAAGCTGGAAAATGACCTGAAGGTGCTGAGGCAGCAGCTGAACATGAGCCAGGTGTGCCCAGGTGGGCAAGGTGGCCAAAGGCACCTGGGCTGCCCCAGCCATGGTGTGGCAGCAGGGCCAGGGCAGGGATTGTCCCCCTGTACTGGGCACTGCTGAGGCCACACCTCAATTGCTGTGCACAATTTTGGGCACCTTCAGGACAGAAAAGACATTGAGAGGCTGCAGTGTGTCTAGGGAAGAGCAACGGAGCTGGGGAAAGCTTGTGGAACTGAAGCCAGAAGCTCACATTTATTAAACAAAGTCATTATTTCTTGTAACCATGATATTCATGCTGCACTGGTGAAAGAAATACCAGGTATGCAGTGAGGGAAGTCAGACGTGGAGTAAAGATGTCCCTGACATGACAAACCAGCTCTTTTCAACTGGGCAATAGGCTGCCCTCTCAGGGACAATTTTTTTTCCTCCCCACCATCTCAAATTTGTAACGAAACGTTTTAATTTGAGTAAACAAGGCAAAGGAGAAACACAGAAGGAAATAGGAGAGATTGGAGGTTAATTCAACATTAAAGTATGAAGCACACTACAGCTGTTTCAGGGGTGTGAGAAGACAGACAATTTGCACTAAGAGTGGAAAGGAAATGGCACCATAGGTGCTAAAATAAAATAAAAGCTACTATTGTGTCAAGAAAAGAGAAGAATAAAATGTATTGCCCATGGTATGGAGTTTGACATTGCAAACTGCTCATATTTAATATTATGACCATGTTCCCAGACCTCAGTTTAGCAGTGGTATGAACAGCAATAACTCTCATTTTCAAGGGCTCAAAGACAAAACCATGCTCTGTTTATCAAAACATGCTGGATATTGCACAACTAATCACACAGGGACACTCTCTTACAGTTTTTTCCAACCATTTATTGACATGTAGGTTTTGGTAGCAAGCTCCACTGACTTTTCCTTTGCATTTTGGTCCTGCACTCCATTTACTCATGATTCCTTTGGGTCATTCAGACAATGGGGAAAAACCCCACAATTTGTAGAATGGAGCACACTATCCTCTAAAAAGCCAGATTCAACAGATTGGATCATTGAAGATTCTCCAGTTTTGTGTTACTGTAGCATGATGGCAACAAGGATGTGATTGTCTGTGATCCTAAGATCAGAAGTGTTCTGGAAGCAGAAAAACAGCCAACAGGACTGGGAGACAAGGGATCACAGTGTGTGGGGCTGGGACCAAACCTGCCCAGATTCCTCCAGCAGCACTGGAGCAGCAAGGCCAGTTCTGCAGGACTCTGCCCAGCTCCAGGACTAATCCCAGCTCTGCTCCTTTGTA